AAGTGTTTGAGTGTTCACATTTATTCTGGTATTTATGCCCTATATTGATATTTAGATCAAGGAGTATTTCCAAATGTCACTTAATATAATTATACATCTTTTACTGAGTGGCTAGAATACTTTAACCCCGTCACAGCATTCTCAACAATCACATGAAAAATAATTTGGTGCCTAAGATGACAGAAATTTAATTTCTTACTAATAATAAGAATCTGATATTTCCTTACTTCACTGGAGGAAAATAAAAGAAAAAAAATTCCATGTAAGGTATTTATTTAAGCAATTGAAAATCAATTTACATTCTTTGAATTCACCCTGGAGAGATGCATTTCTTCGGATTTTCAGACCTAAGCTCATTCTTGAAATACAAAAGTTGATATGCACAGCAATATATACATACAACAGATAATTGATTCCAGAAAACCATGGACCATAACAGATATGGTGACAATATCATATGTACAAATATATTTATATATACACAATAATGTTGGATGTAGGAATAGAAGTCTGAAATACCCAAGGCTATCACACAACCTTATTCTAATAAATGTGCGGTGTTTATAAGCCACTTTTTTGTATTGAAGCCCCAATTTATGGAGGATACATGACAAATTAATAATCTTTCATCATAGTATATGGAAATTTTGTCTTCTAAAAAGTGATGTATAAGAGGAAGAAAAATTTTAAAGAGAAGGTGAATAGTCATAAGGTTCCCTGAGGAACAATGGGATAGCAATGTGCTTTTATACATGTATAGATCATCATGCTGAGGCACTAACTGTATCAGCACCAGCCTCATATTGTACAAATAAGAAATATTCCTTACTTTTAAGACTGCAAGAATCCTCTATAAATGCCCTTGGTTGTGAAATCAAAGGTCAGATAAGAGACATCAAAAAATTATTTTGGGTCCCATAGAAAAAAGAAATAAGATGCATTAGAAGTATTTAATAATCCAGTATCAATAAGCAGGAAGAAGTTACAAGAATTCAGACAAGAAATCTTTGTGATTGAATTACAAACTCGATTTAGGCAAGACACCTAGAGCCCACAATTGAGAAGCTGCAGTTGATTCAATATCTAAGTAGCTCAGCACATTCTTATCTGAAAGAGAGAAAATTGGCCCTAATTAGACTTTTCTTTATTTCTGTATAAAAGGACACATTTTTTTTACTAAGCTCTGGTGCATCTTAATCCATTGGCAACAGTATTGGTATTGCAATTATTATTATTGACATAATGTTGATGATGTAGGTGTTGTTATCATTATTATTCAAAATAAAGTAAGATAGGTATGACTATTTTGTGATTAAGCATTTAGATGTTATCTATTTGCAAAATTAATAAACTAAATCACAACTGGGATGGCATGAAGAGATTGTCATCCTGTATAGCTATTAAAACCGATAATCTTGTAATAAATCTACATCTTATCTTACTTTTCTAAATAGAGGTTATTCAAAAATAAATAACATTGAAATTAACTTTCATTAATATTTGCTCAAACATTCCTAGGCATATGAATAGCACTTCCATTACCTCCTGAAATGATATACTCTTCTATTATTCTTGCTATTGTAGGGGCAGGCACAGCCAAATTGATGTGAGGAAAAGTAGCTTTGTTTTTTGTGTCTTGGGTATTGCACACCACTATGCCAACAACCTGGAAACCTTTGGGAGAGAAATAGAAGTTAATGTTAGTAAAGGTAAAATAAAAGCAAAATTTCTGAATTGAAACCATAAAATCAAATAATATAAATCTACTTCTACCAATATTTCATATTCCAATATAACATTCACACTTCTCACCATGCTGCGGGTGGAGTGAAATAACAGGCCCACCACTTGTTCCAGCATATACAGCACATGTCGTCTGCATCATCAGTGGTACCATCTTATCATTTTTCATGCATACTGTCCAATAGTCAGCAAAGGAATCAATACTGTGCTTTTTGTCATCTTCTCTAGCACAATGAGGTTCTAGGTTTTGGGATGATTGATTGAAAAATCCAGCTTTGATTTTACTATTTGTGAAATCTTCCCTAACTTTGCTTATCATTAAGATACTTGTTTCCTCAGAAATGCTGGAATGCTCCATTGCAAAGTCCTTATCTTCACTCAGATGAAGAGACTGAGCAGGAAAGTTTATAGTTTTTGAAACTATTCCTCGAGACAGAGTTGGTGTAGGCAGATATTGAGGGGAGAATACTCCATATCCTGCCACCACAACAGGCCAGCCTGTAATGTAAGAAAAATAAAGAATGAGATGATTCATGAAATTTGATAAGTTAATCACCTAATGTCAGTCACATGCAAATTAGCAAGTCAATCATTAATTATCACCTCACCATGAACTCTTAACTGTTGCATTACTTTACATTTAATTGTTGTGACAAGATTTTGGATATTATTTTCCATGCCTATTGTGATGTATTACTATTATTACTCTTTTAACTGTTAATGAAAACAAAGCAAAAATTGTTCCTAACCTTTTGGAGGTATTTCTGTAGCTAATGGTAAGGAAGAAGGCAGAGACTTGGCAGTCACAATAATGGCCAGGTCCCACACACTCTTTCCTTGCCTGCTTGTCCCTGAATTTTGTGTGGTCAAGGTGGCTGGTCTAGTCTTGAAGACTACCTGACCTTGTTGATTTGACCCATCTGCCAGCACAATTTTGACTGCCTGAAATTGAAATTGGTAGTGATATAATTAATGACCCAGTAAAAAATCATAATACTAGATTAAACTATTTTCAATTTCTTCTCAGTATACATTATGGGAATCATCCTGGATGGGATGGGGTTTTAAATGCCTTTTCCACAATAAGGAAGGCTGGTTTACAATACACTTTAAATTACATGTGTATTATGATAGCACATCCGTTAATACCAAACCTATGGGGATTTCCAAAAATCATTAAAAATTGATTTTTCAGTTTATCTTTGAATGAAACCCTAAAACTTATTATTTTTTGTGGGCAATTAACTAATTTTCATTTTAACACCCCCCCCCCTCCACAAATCATGATGGTCCTCCTAAAACATTGCCTCCCTTCCCTTAAAAAAGAAAGTACTTACATCACTACTTGCTGGAGCTACGACATGTGCACAAGTAATAATGACTCCAGGAGTTTTGCTAACTATCACACCACTCCCCCAGCCACTACCGCACTGTACTCCAACCACGCAACTGTCCACAATCTTGGCAAAACCTGAAAAATAAAGGAACAATTTTGGTTGTTTATCATTACTGTACTGTATATTATTACCAATATATTAAATCAATACAGAGATAATACACCTCAGTAATAAATAAGGGATTTACCTTCATTCATGCTTTTTTTCAACATTTTCTCACACAACTGCATAGACATAGCACTGCTTTTATCATCAAACAGCTCTGAGCTGATGCCATTTGAAATTTCATGAAGTTGCCCAGTAGACTGCTTATTTGACTCTACATTTTTAGTAAACTCTAGGCTGTTCTCTTCCTGTGAGTCAGACTTCAAATGGTTCATTAAGGCTGTAAGGATAGAATATGCACATGCCACAAGTGTAAGCCCAAGCCATTCTCCTTGTCGCCAACAAAATGGGGAAATAACCAACCCACAAAGACTTCTTCTGTAAAACAGAAACATGCAAATATTAAAGTTACACTATAGTATGTTTTGCTACCTATTGTGTTGAAAAGTTATACTTATCAATCATTATATTACAGTATCTTAAAATTGCTCAGTAATGCTTGCATATTTACCCTGATATTTGACAATAATCTCTTATCTTCTAATAAACACAAGAAGATAGTGCTGTTACTTTAGACAGCATCATTAAAAATTAGTAAATCTGTTTCTAAAAAGAACTTCAATCCCTATGTTGTGATGATGATTACACATAATTACACATGAATAACTTACTTTTCATTATCAGAAAAGACCGGAGCTCCCTCTGATCCCATAATGCAACGAGCATCTGTTAACAGCACATCCCCATTACTGCCACAGACATTACTGACGATGCCATAGCTTAGGGAATTCAGAAATACATCTGGAGACAAGCTTCCAAATGGTGAACTCTCCACAAACACACCTGATCCTATATGGTTAGGGAAAAGGCCATAAGAAATACTATCTATGAGTTCTTAGTATATTGAGTGGAAACAAAACAATTAAATTATATTGTCTCATCAATTAGTATAAAGAACAGGCAGAGGGTATATAAGAAGCAAACAACTTACTGTACAGTTAGCACTTAACTTTCATGAATCTGATTATCCACAAGCCTAATAGTACTAGTGATAGGTACACTTCCATTCAGAGGGATTTAGGAATGTAACTCTTACACATATTAAGGGACAACTGCATCAACCACATAATAGAGAAATAAATACCTTTTTGACTCCTGGTTGTGATGTTCGCTAATCTTTTCACTGAAGATATTAATTCTGTCATGCTTGCTTTCCCAACCTCTTCCTGACCATTTTTCACTATTTTCAGAACTACAAAGGTTGAGAGAAGGATTCTTTCAAACCGAGTTGTAAGATTCTCATCTTTATCTTCTGTTAGCTTCCACCCCTGAGAAACTGGCATAATGGTAGACAGGCTCTCCGTTATACCATCTTGGAGAAAAACCATGGCAACGGATGCTGGATGGGAGGAATATCCACGGGTTGTCTGCATTGATTTGTAGTTTGCTGTAGTGGAATTGCTAGGTTTTTCCCAAATGGTTTTATCTCTTGAGTGACTTGCACGAGTTCCATTTTCTGCTTCAGTTGAGGAGGCTGAGCTAAGAAGGAATCTTTGATCATCAGGAGTGGTCTTCACTGGGGCTTGAAGCTCTTCTTTCACACTATTTATGTGTTCAGTGGGAAAAATTACTTGGAATTCTGAACATGTTGCTTGTAAGGTTTCAGTTATCAAGATTGCATCTTTTTCATAGTCTACAAAACCTTTCCTTAAGATTTCTTGGAGAAGGGCTTTACCCAATTTGTTCTTGATAACATCAATGATAATTGTGCCATGTGAGAGAACAAACCCATTCCCCAGATACACTCCAGAGCAGCTTAGATTATCTGCATTTGTGAATTCTGATTGTGAAAATTCTACAATTACACCAAATCCTGCCATTATAACTTTCTTTCCAAAGTCTGTTAATTCAATAATTTAAAACAATATTACATTAAAAAAATCCTATTGTTCAATCACAATATACTACATACTCATTTTCACTTCTCATTTCATTTACATTACACTTTTACATTCTAATCACATTTCACAAAGGGGATTCCTTCACTTCTTTGAAGTAATTTATTCAATATGCTACTGTTTAAAGGCTTTCTCTTCTTCTTCTAATGCCTTCAATAATTCCTTCTCTTTCCTCTCGTGTAATTTTTTAATGCAGTCATCAATTTCCTGTAAGAAAATAAAAACAATAATATATGAAGTCATATTTAAAAGAGTACTATAACTCCCACACACAAGAACAGACTTAAATTTAAATGCCAGGGCTACAGTTCCAAACACAGAACACAAAAAGACTTATCACACACATTATTCCACAAGAACACAAGAAACACAAAGCCACCAAAACTACGAAACCTTGCTGTGCATCTTATCAAGGGGAGGGTATAGTTCACGTCGCATCTTGACAATCCACTCTTCAAAATACTGGGGTTGATTGAAGAAGTAAAAGACAGCAACTGGGAAGGACATGTACATGGCCATCTTGCCTATTTCTAATTTCCAACCACCCATGATGAATACCTGAAAATGATACCAAAGTTAAAAATCTTCTTTGTTTACCTATAACATAATTCCTAACTATTAAGGAGGAAAAAATGGAAAACAGAAATAACAGAGAAGACCATACTAGCCTATATTTCAGAAGGTGTTCATATGTATTAGTTAATGCTTTGGATCAGTGAACATATCAAATGAGAGTAATGGCTATATGCAAAAGTTCTTACTGATTATTACTGCCATATTATGGAAATTCTTTGTTTGCAAGCCTTTGTGAAAAGTTGATTAAGTTGGACATGTCCATTGCAATTATTAAGTCATACTTTATTCCAAATATAAACTATATATGTACTACATTTTACATATATGTAATTTGTAGTACATATTACATATAAGTAACTGCTCCCAAAAAATATTGGCATCTAACAAATAATTTACTTGCCCTCTTTACCATAATTCTATATATGACAGCTATCAAAAACTCTTGTTCATTCAATTCAAAAAGATTTTTATGTCTATGACTCTGAATGAACAGCAAATGTCCTGATGAATTCTGTGGCATCAAAATTTTAGTTTTTAAATAAGGAGAGACTGTGCTGTTGGGGAAGACATTAACAGGGATAAATCACTTTACCTACAAAACTAGGTCAGGTTGGCCTTTACTTTAGTAGTATTGTTAATTCACATATATTAATAAAGTGGTAATTTCTTAAGCTGAATAACATAATACTGAACTTACTATATGCATAAGGAAAAGTTAACACAATCTTATTAGAAGCCAGACTGACTTGGTGGTTGAGACTGACTTCACTTGGCAAAAGCCATTGAGATTCTACCAATTGTATTCTAGCAAGACATTCCTTAGACAGATTCCTAGTGCCACTATAAAATGCCAGGGAGTCTGCAAACCACACCTGGATTGATTTTGATCATGATCCTGTGTCTCCCTTTGATATGTTCAATATTTTTTCAATATTTTTTTGATAAACTTTATGGTCTCTGCTCTTTCTGAGGTCAGACAAAGGCCAATAAAAACTGCATTGCCTGTACTTGGCATGGGGTGCGGTCACTTTCTACAGACACACTGCTTAATCAGTACTGTACAGATGCACCAAGCAAGGGGAAGTTGAATAAGGAGATGGGAACTTAGCCTCTAGTGAGTGCATCTATAAAGAACATCTCAATTACTGACTGGACTTCATACTGTAGGCCTTATATCACAGTTCATAAAAAAGTTCCAAGTGGGCTTGGATAAAACACATTCAGTGTAACTATAAAGGATAAAATGCTTGATCTGAAAGTCAATAGATTGATCTACTGATCTACTGTGCATTAGGTGAATTCAAAATGGTAATTATATCAAACAAAATACTTCTACTAAAAAAAACAGGTCTAAATTTCAAGACATAGAAAACACGACAAAAATAGGAGAAAAAACGTATTCCAAGATGTTAATGTAACTTCTACGAAATAAATACCGTGCAGTTTAAGAACAAGGAAAAATTGGGTCATTCTGATTAAACTACGTAAATTTATCTGCTAACTGCAACTGCAACTGCAACTGCAACAACACTTCACCTCCAAAAAATACTTGAAATTAAAATAAACTTTTTTCACCATTATTTATTACCTGACAAAATAAATATTTCACAGACGTAATCAAATCACACTACTACCTACCTTACCTCAGTGGGACATCAAGGAACAATCACATACAACCTCTACAAGACATGTCCAGAGAACCACAAAGTCTTACGTGAATG